TTCTGGTAAAAGAGGAAACTCCTCACCGGCTGACTCGGTAGCAGAAAAAGAAAAAACAAAACTCCTTAGATCTAACTCCACTTCCAGCTCCAAAAGCGACAATTCTAGTAGATCAACAAGAAGTACCGTTAAGAAATAACTTTTACAATAATATTTTTGTCCAACTCTATTAAAAATTTATTTTACGTTCCTTCAAATTCCATTTAACTTTATTTTTATATTTTGGTAAATATTGATTTTTGTTTGTAATTAATAAATAGCTGTTTAATTATGTTTAAATCATTTTCAGTTTGCCACGTTAATGCTAGATCTGTTTTGTCAAATTTTATCGAATTTAAAAATGCTGTACATAATCAGTTCGACTTAATCACGGTATCTGAAACATGGTTTAACAATTTAATAAGGAACGAATCGGTTGCCTTACCAGGATATAGACTTTTTAGACGAGATAGAACCAAAAAGAGGGGCGGAGGGGTTGCTATTTATGCTAGGCAATATTTTAATTGCAAATATATTTTAAATTTAGAAAAAACTGAATCGGAACAACTGTGGATTTCAATAAATATTAATAATAAAAATTACGCCTTGTGTTCCATCTATAGACCTTCCGATTTTCCATTTCAACAATTTATAGATGAATTTGATAACTGTTTAAACGAAATAGCACCCAAATTTGATTACATTATTGCCGGAGGAGATTTTAATATCAACTATTTGGACCCTGAGAGTGCACCGAGTAAATTAATACAAACTATTCAAGATTCGTATGAGATAATACAGGTAATTGATCAACCTACGAGAGGGGTAAAATTGCTTGATCTCATTTTGTGCTCGGATAATCTTAAAATTGGAAATATAGATGTACATGAATGTTCTATTTTATCAGATCACTCAATTCCTTCATGCACTATTGGATGCCAAATTAATAAACCTGAACCATTTTTGTATACATTCCGAGACTTTAAACGCTTTCAAGTCGCTGACTTCCTTCAGGATCTACAAAATGCGGATTTTAATAAAATAATACTAGCCGATAATATTGATTTAAAAATTGAAACATTAAATATTTTAATTTTAAATTTGTTTGAAAAACATGCTCCCAAAAGAATTATCAAAATAAGCAAAATAAAATCACCCTGGCTTACCGATACTCTAAAATGTATGATGAAATTGAGGGATAAAGCTTTACAAAAATTCAATAAATTTAAAAACCCACATCACTGGGACTATTATAAGACATTACGTAACGAGGTCAATTACGCAATTAAACGAGAAAAAAGAGCTTACTTAGAATTCAGGCTGCGAAGTAAAAATAACATTTGGAAAGAATTAAAACATTTAGATATAATTCACAATAATAAAAAATTGCCTTTGAATATTCCTTCCCACCTGCAAAATCCTGACACGATCAACAATTATTTTATTAATGGTATTGGAGGCAGTGATTCGCCAGACCCAAATATCCTGGAGAATTATAGCACATCGACTGTCGTAAATGTTGACACATTTAATTTTAAAACTGTACAGGAATTGAAAGTCTATGAAAAACTGCTCTCCATAAAATCCAATGCCACCGGTCCGGACGAGATAAATATTACCATGCTATTGCACTGCTGTCCTCTTATACTTCAATACCTCACTCACATTTTTAACTTCTGCCTTAGTAATTCTATATTTCCTTCGCTATGGAAAAAATCTCGAGTAATACCTCTTCCAAAAACAGACAATCCATCGGAATATAGCCAACTAAGACCTATAAGCATTCTTTGAACACTGTCCAAAGTATTAGAAAAAATAATGGGAGAACAAATAGGACTGCACATCTCCCAATTTGATATATTACCTATAAATCAGTCAGGATTTCGCCCAAATCACAGCTGTACTACTGCACTACTTAAGGTTTTAGATGATATTTATTATGCAATTGATACTAACAAGCTTTGCATATTAGTACTCTTAGACTATTCTAAAGCATTTGACAAAATCAATCGCAGTATGCTTAGATCCATTTGTCATTATATAGGATTTAGTAGTTCTTCCTTAAATCGGCTAAAATAATATCTAGACCAACGGACTCAAAAGGTCGTTCTAGGCGGAAAAAGTTCAAACGATATTTTAGTCACTCACGGCGTGCCTCAAGGGTCTATTCTAAGGCCTCTTTTATTCTCTTTATATACTTCGCAATTTCATAGACACCTTAAATATATGAAATCACACTTTTATGCAGATGATACAGAACTCTATCTTGAATTTAAAGAATCTGAAATTGAAGAAGCTACACATAATATAAATGATGACTTGAGAACATTATCAGAATTGTCCACAAAATTCTGTCTATCAATTAATGGCACTAAATCTAAATCTATGTTATTTGGTCGAAAATTAGCTAAAAATCGTGTAAAAAATTCTGCTACTGTTCAGATTGATAATAAACCAATTGTTTTTTCAGACTGTGAAAAAAATTTAGGACTATATATTGACGACTCCCTCACTTTTTCTCAGAATACATCTTTTGTGGTAAAAAAAGCTTTCTCAAATTTAAAACTTGTATATTCGTACAGACACTTATTAAATAAGCAGGCTAAGATGTTACTATGTGACGGTTTAGTTCTTTCACAACTAAATTACGGCGATGTAATTTATGGACCTGCTTTATCGCAATTTAACAAAAATCGTCTTCAGCGTATTCAAAATGCATGTATACGACTTATTTGCGAACTAAGACGTCGTAGTTCTACTTCACATCACATTGCGAAACTTGGCTGGTTGAATTTAAATAACCGAAGAGTACTATATGCCTCTTTACTTTTCAAAAAAATTATACTTACCAAAAAACCTACGTACCTACAATACGGCTAAAATCTACAATCTCATCCCTACCAAATTTAAAACTCTACCTATTTCTAACTACAAGAAAAAATAAAAGAATGCTTACTTAATGGAAGTATTCAATTTAAATTTTAATTTAATATAATTGATGACGGACCAACAAGCAGATCTACCTATCTCATTAACCAAACTGATTTTGTGAACATTTTTCCTTATTAATAATTATATTGTAATTATTTTATTATTTCAGTTTATTTTATAATTTTAGTTTATTTTATTATTCTAGTTTATTTTATTTTACTAGGTTGAGTGGAAGAGCAGATTCTACGGAAGATTCGACAGAATCCTCCCAAGAAATCTGAACTCTGCCTTTTGACTGTGAAATATCAATGTATCTACATGAATTATTGTTTTATTTGTCTCTTTGTAATTAACAGTCAATAAAAACCTTTATTATTATTATTATTATTATTATTATTATTATTATTATTATTATTATTATTATTATTATTATTATTATTATATTCTCTAATATTATAGAAAATATTTTGTTATTAATAAGTAGAATATTTGTTACCTGCGAACTATTCACTACACAAATTTTCAAGATTTGAAATAACCTTCAGTTTGTGGATGGTGTCTTTACTTTTTAAAAACAACACCATTGTGACACCATACATTTTCTTTGGAAAATTTTGATATTGCAGCTTGCAAAACGGAAAGTCTCGATGGTATAAGGTCCTCTTGTATGTACATTCCTGTGGATTTGAAGAATTTCCTGTTCTTTAGGATTTTTTCTCGAAGCGAGATAGTTAAATCAGCACTGCTGCCGGTCTTGGATTTGCTAGATCAACTTTTTTGTTTGGAATTCAAAAACAGTTTCTAATATCTTTAGGTCGGATATATTTCACTTTCAATGTATTATTAATTAGATATGTAATTACTTGTGTTTAAATTCTCGCCCTGGTTTTCCTGGACACCAAATATTCTTAAGTTTTTAAGCCCATTTTCCTGATTTAGATCATCTATTTCCATTTTTAGTCATCCATTTTTAATGATTCTAAATTATGTTTATACTTATCATCAATAGTTTTACAAATCTTTCCGGAATTTTTTTTTAATATAGTTTTCATCATCAAAAATAGTTTTTGCTTTTTGTTCAAATGCAATCTCTTCTAAATCTTCTCTTGTCAACCCCATTTTTGTTATAACACACCACTTCAAATAATAAATAATTTAATATTTTACTTGATTATTAAAATTTTTATCCAGATCGAGGTACACCTGGCTAAATTAAAATGTCTCTGTACATTGATAAGGAACTGATTTTCAATAAGCAGAAGCGATCAAACTACTTCCAGGACATCTCAACACGATTGTATATAAACTTACGACTCCAGATAAAGCGTTATAATTCACTTTATAAGACCGCTTAAACCATGCACCCTCAACAATACTGCAATTAGACCATTTCCTTGTTCATCTACTTTTCCAATATCTTTTACTAATTGCAATTCTTTGAGTCCTGCTTATTCCAAGACCTCTCCCAAGCTGCTTCAAAAATACTTTTACTTACCAACTCATTATGATTCGTCTTTCATAATTAGTTTCACAATACGTGAAAAATAATAAAAAATATGCAAAATTTTTACAATCAAAAGAGCAAGTTAGACCATTGCAAAATCACTTTATATTTGCTAATCCAAGCCACCGTTGTTTCCAGGTATGTGATAAAGAGATATATTTTCACGAGTTCGGAACAAAAATATTATTGGAAAACGGTTTACCACAAAACTCAATTAGTTTTTGATTTTAGCAAAAACTTGTAAATAGAAAAAAAAATCAGCTACAAACTCCAGTTTTCCAAAAATTTTATATCTGCAAATTTATAAAATTTAATATTCATTTTTAATTTTTATTTAAAAAACTAGGTTGTAACAAAAAAATTAAAAGACTGGAGATTATTAGGGTGTTTCTTTTTAATACTTTAGCAAAAAATGAAATTATACTGATGATAAATAATTAAGGTAGCACTCTATGCAAGTTCTTTATTTTTACAACTTTTAAATGATTTTTCCATAATAATAACAGTAAATAAAAAAAAAATAGTAATGTTCGACACGATGTAAAGCTAAAATAATTACAAAATAATTTTTAATTTTCCTTTTTAGATGACGAATTCGCTAGTGATATAATTAACCTACGCATGAAAACCGATGACTTCGAACACATCAAAGTGATAGGCCATGGAGCATTTGGTAAAGTTCAGCTTGTCAGGCACAAGTATACTAGAAAAGTTTTTGCAATGAAGAGGCTCAGCAAGGCAGATCTTATCAAACGGTCAGATTCCGCTTTTTTCTGGGAAGAAAGGCACATAATGGCGCATGCGAGATCAGAATGGATTGTTCAGTTACATTTTGCCTTCCAAGTAAGACTTAACTATATCATCTTCGAAAGTTAGCATCGCAGTGCTTTGTTTAAAAATGTTTGAGATCCATATATTTTTTTATGGATATTTGATCTTTGAATGTATATTTAAGAAGTGAAATTAAATGTCAATAGAGTAAAATGTATTTCAATTGAAATAAAACTAATAACCAAATTTTTTATCTTTCGAAGGATACCAAACACCTTTATATGGTAATGGATTACATGCCAGGAGGTGACATAGTTAATCTCATGTCAAATTATGACATACCTGAGACTTGGGCGAAATTTTATACAATGGAAGTTGTCCTCGCTCTTGATGTTATACACTCCATGGGATTCGTGCATCGCGACGTTAAGCCTGATAATATGCTATTAGATAAATATGGACACTTGAAATTGGCGGATTTTGGAACATGTATGAGAATGGACGAAGGTGGATTAGTTAGATCAAATAATGTGGTTGGTACGCCTGATTATATTTCGCCAGAAGTACTGCAGAGTCATGGAAAAGGTAAATGATTTTCTAATAAAAAATGTCTATTGTTAGAAGTTAAATGAATTAACTTCAAAATTATTGTTTTTAATTGATTTATCACCCTGTATGCTAAACGCCATATACACTTCACAAAACATGTGTTTTAACCATGTTTTATAATATGTTATTAAATATTTCGTAAACAATGTTTAAAATATAATTAATTAAGGAAAAAAATAAAAAATATCTTTAATGGGCATAATGCCTACTACTTGCATTTGGCTTATCAAAATTCAAGTGTCTCCTCTCGGATGCTAATTTTCTGTGGAAAAAAGTAGAACATGACCTAAATGCCAAAGTCCGATATACACTTTCATGATTCCAAGCTTAAGATAGTGTAATCTTGAAAAACAATTCATAAATAAAATAATTCATGCGAGTATGCTGACCCCATGCTTCAAGACATTATTCGTCCTTGAGACATACAATATAACACTGAACATGGACGTATTCTGACACCATCTTTCAAGGCTTATTATTTGTTTTAGATGCATAAATTATAACACTAAACATGGATGTATGCTGACTCCATGTTTCAAGGCTTATTATTTCATCCCTGCAACAAAAACAAAACGGTTAAAACAAAACATTTACTTTACCTTCAATTTCAAAGAAATTGATAATATCTTGCAAATCAGTTGCTAATGATTACTCGCTCTGCTGAAATCTGATTTTTTAACATTTTTTTGGAGAAGAAATGTTTGTCAACGCCTCTATTTTTCTCAATCTAATCTGTAATATCTTCAGCGGAAATATCCTGTCCAATAAAATCATTTTTTATTTGCGAAAAGGAACATTTTCAAATATTTAGGAAGAACCCTGCTGTTTCTAACGTATGGAGGGTGGGTTAACCCACGGCATTAGGCCTCACTAGCTCCTAGCTCGTGAGCCAGCCTACAAATTTAATGTAGTTGACAACGTCGCCAATACTCGCCGAAAACAAATCTTCTAATAAATGAGAGCGTCGGGCAATCCTAGAGGATATGATCGATGGTCTCATCTTGTTCGCACCCCTGCAGAGTGCAGATTCTGATGATATGAAGATGCTTCCGTAGTTGGTAATATTTAATCAGAATGCCTGTAATCTGGCGCAGATTCTGTCTAGTGTTGTCAAGATAACTTAAAAACTTCCCGGCAAATCTGCAGCTTCTTGTTTAATCCCATCTTTCCTTGAATTTCATAAGGAAATGTTCTTTAATTCACTACCGATTTTGTCAGGCCAATAAATGGGCCAGGTCCAAAAAGTATTTGGTTGGTTGTTTAACTTGAATATTAACAAGCACAATTTTAACATCTGGTCCAAACTTATATTTTGAAATAAAACTATCAAGTTATGTCCATAACAAGGATTTCCTGTAAAATTAATTGTGTTACACATCAGAGGGACACGTCAGCTCGAGTATCAATAGACCCATTAGGTTGATTTGTTAATGTTTATTTTCTTTGGCACACTTTTATATACTGATTTTTAAGAAAACAGTTTTCAGTAATGTAGCCTGACTTAAAACAAAAATTACATTTGTTTATTTTTCGTTTTTTTTGTTATTTGCTTTTTTGTTTTTTCTATTATTTTGTTTTGTTTTTTTTATTTTGTTTTTGTATTTATTTAGTTTTTTATTTTATTCTTTTTTGTTTATTTTTGTTGTTGTTTTTTGCTTTTTTATTTATTTGTTTTGTTTCTTTTTTTTTGTTGTTTTTTGTTTTTTACTGTTTTTTTATTTTGTTGTTTTTTGTTTTTTTTTTATTTTATTTTTTTTTTTTGTATTGTTTTTTTTTTATTTTTTTCTTTTTTATTTTTTATTTTTGTCTGTTTTTTTATTGTAGTTTTGTTGTTTTCTTTGTTGTTTTTTTTTGTTGTTGTTTTTTTTTGTTGTATTTGTTATTTGTTATTTGTTTTTTTTTATTTTTTGTTCAATTTTTTTTTATATTTTTTTTTGTTTATTTTATTCTTTTGTTTTGTTTTTTATTTATTTTTTGTTGTTTTTGCTTTTTTTTCTTTTTTGTTGTTTTTTGTTTTTTTTTTTGTTTTTTTATTTATTTTGTTTTTTCTATTGTTTTTTTTTTTCTTTTATTTATTTTGTTTTTTCTATTGTTTTTTTTTTCTTTTTTTGTCTTGTTTGGTTTTGTTTTTCTTTTTTATTTTTTTTTGTTTTTTGTTTTTTTTTGTTTTTTCTTGTTTTTACGTCATATTTTTGGTGTTGAAATTTTTTGGTTTTGTTTTTTTATTTATTTTGTTTGTTTTGTTTTTTATTTTATTCTTTTTTGTTGTTTTTTTTTTGGGTTTTTGTTTTTTCTATTGTTTTTTTATTTTTTCTTTTTTATTCTTTTTGTCTGTTTTTTTTGTTGTAGTTTTGTTATTTTCTTTGTTTTTTCTTTGTTGTTTTTTTTTTGTTCTATTTTTTGTTTCTATATTTTTTGTATTGTTTTTTTCTTTTTTATTTTTGTCTGTTTTTTTATTGTAGTTTTGTTGTTTTCTTTGTTGTTTTCTTTGTTGTTTTTTTTTTTTGTTGTTTTTTTTGTTGTTTTTTTGTTGTATTTGTTGTTTTTTTTTATATTTTGTTCAATTTTTTTTTATATTTTTTTTTTGTTTTGCCTTTTTTTGTTTTATTTTATTCTTTTGTTTTGTTTTTTATTTATTTTGTTTTTTCTATTGTTTTTTTTTCTTTTATTTATTTTGTTTTTTCTATTTTTTTTTCTTTTTTTGTCTTGTTTGGTTTTGTTTTTTTTTTGTTTTTTTCTTGTTTTTACGTCATATTTTTGGTGTTGAAATTTTTTGGTTTTGTTTTTTTTATTTATTTTGTTTTTTATTTTTTTTTTTTGTTGTTTTTTTTTTGGGTTTTTGTTTTTTCTATTGTTTTTTTATTTTTTCTTTTTTATTCTTTTTGTTGTAGTTTTGTTATTTTCTTTGTTTTTTCTTTGTTGTTTTTTTTTGTTCTATTTTTTGTTTCTATATTTTTTGTTTTGTTTATTTTATTCTTTTTTGTTTTGTTTGTGTTGTATTTTTTTGTCGTTTTATTTTTTGTTTTTTCTATTTTTTTTTGTTTTTGCTTTTTTCTTTTTTTGTTTTTTTCTATTGTTTTTGTTGTTTTCTCTTTTTTTTTCTTTCTTTTTTGTTTTTTTTTTTGTTTTTTTTTGTTCTTTGTTTTTTATTTATTTTGTTTCGTCTATTTTTTGTTTGTTTTGTTTTTTATTTTATTCTTTTTTGTTTTGTTTTTTGTTGTACTTTTGTTTTTTTGGGTTTTTGTTTTTTCTAATGTTTTTTTCTTTTTTGTATTGTTTTTTTTTTTATTTTTTCTTTTTTATTCTTTTTGTCGTTTTGTTATTTTCTTTGTTTTTTGTTCTTTGTTGTTTTTTTTTTATTTATTTTTTGCTCTATTTTTTGCTTCTATATTTTTTGTTGGTTTGTTTGTGTTGTTTTTTGTTTTTTTCTTTTATTTTTTTGTAGTTTTATTTTTTATTTGTTTTTTCTATTTTTTTTTGCTTTTTTTTTTGTATTTTCAATTGTTTTTGTTGTTTTCTGTTTTTTTTTTTTCTTTTTTGTTTTTTTCTTGTTTTTTTTTTGTTTTTATTTTGTTTTCTATTTTTTGGTGTTTTTGCTTTTTTTCTTTTTTTCTTTTTTCCATTGTTTTTGTTGTTTTCTGTTTTTTTTTTGTTTTTTATTTATTTTGTGTTTTCTATTTTTGGTTTTGTTTTTCTTTTTTTTGTGTTTTTTGTTTTTTTTATTGCTCTTACGTCATATTTTTGATGTTGAAATTTTTTGGAGAAACCATTGTTTCTGACACATTTTTTATATCTAGATATATATTTTGGAATGGTGTTTAAATATGAAATTAAATCACTTAAAATCTCTAATAGTAACGGATTCTTGTACATTTATATCATGAGTTCCATAAACAATTTAATTACATCTTCCGTACTCCTATTAATAAAAAGCGTTCAGCTCTTACCAGTATCTACAGGTCTTACCACTCAAATTCCTCTTTATCTTTTGACCTGTTGTATCCAAATCTTAGAATCGTTGGTATCTGCTGTTTTTTGAAACTGTGCAGCATCTGCGAAAAAATCCTCCATGATACTCTTTTAGACACTGTTTAAAATGTAAAAACATGAACAGGATTTCTACATCTACTTCAAAATTATTGTTTTTTAATTGTTTTACTATAACACCTTCATAAAACACGTGTTAACAAGATTTTATAATGTTTTATTAAATATCTCGTAAACAATGAAATCTAATTAATTAAGGAACAAAATAAAGAATGTCTTTAACGGGCATAATGCCTTCTACTTGCTTGCGTTCCGCTGATCTAAATTCAAGTGTCTCCTCTCGCCTCTTGAACGCTACAAGAGTGCACCATTGTACCATAAACCCCAGTGGCGGTGGTCTCCTAGTTCGCTGACTAACACTGTATTTTTTTTTCTTTTCTAATATACCTTCAAATATCGCAGTAGAGCAAGCCCATAGTTCTAATTTTAATCTAAATTCAACTTATTTTTCATATTTATTATTATTAATTATTATTACAAAAAAAATGTTAACTATAATTTTTTAAAAATTACCTATAATAAATGTGACGTTTCAGGAATATATGGTAGGGAATGCGACTGGTGGTCAGTAGGAATTTTCGTCTATGAAATGTTAGTAGGCGAAACGCCATTTTACGCAGACAGTCTTCTTGGTACCTATAACAAAATAATGTACCATGAAAACAACCTCTCGTTTCCAGATGAGGCGGATATATCCAACGAAGCCAAATCTTTCATACAGGCACTTCTCTGTGATAGAAACAAACGGTTGGGTAAGTATATCCAGCAGAATCAAAATTTAGTATTTCATATTATTATTTCCTCCTAATGTATATTTTAGGACGAAATAGTGTCGACGAAATTAAGTCCCATCAGTTTTTCATAAACAACGAAAATTGGACTTTCGAAAATTTACGTGAAATGGCACCGCCGGTGGTTCCAGAACTTTCAGGTGATGATGATACCAGTAACTTTGAAGACTATGAAAAGGATGAAACACCTGAAGAAAATTTTCCTGTACCTAATACTTTCGTAGGCAATCATTTGCCATTTATAGGTACGGAATTGTTAATGTTTTCCGTTTTCTATCTATTTATTTTTAATTACGATATATTTTAGGCTTCACCTACAACTCCGACTACCAACTTTTAACTATTGATTCAGTAGACAGTAAACCCAATAACACAGTGACAGATGGCATAAATAATGCCATCTCAAATTCGACCAACCAAGTCCACAAACTCGAGCTCCTTCTGGAGCAAGAAAAATTAAATGTAGACACTTTAGAAGCGAAACATAGACAGTTGGTAACGCAATTGGAAACCACGGCTCAAAGAGAATGTGATGTGAGAGATGAAGTCACCAAATACGAAAAGGAACTGACAATTTTAAGGCATAACTATAAGGAGTTACAGAGAAAGGCTGAATACGAGTCGGATTTAAGGAAGAACACCGAAAAGTACTTGTCGGAGGTAAAGAAAAGATTCGAAGAAGAACAAAATAAGAGAACACGGGAGATGAACAATAATCAACAGCACAATGATAAGATACAGTTATTAGAGAAACAGGTTTGTACCAGTGATATTTTTATTATAAATGATTTTGTAAATAGAAGAAATATTTACTTTTTTTAATATTAATTCAAAAACAGTCATATAATTTGAATTGGCTACGGAAAGTTAAGAAATTTTAATTAAATTGGTTTAAAAATTTTGTTAATACGAATATTTTTATACAATAATGCTTTGATATATGATGCAAAACATATAATCTAATAAAAATTACATATATTCAAATAAAAAATTTGTCCACCATGATTTAATGGAATTTTTTTAATTTTTATCCTAATAATATTTATTTTTTTATTTTTAGGTAAACGAGATGCAAGAAAAACTAAAAAACGAGACTGAAAATTGCCAAAAGTTGCGTAAGCAAGCCAACGAATTAACCATAGCTAAATCAAATTCGGAACACAAGGTTTCTGAATTTCAAACGCTGCTTCAAACTCTTCAGAGTCAAAGAGACAGTTTGCAAGCAGAGCTGGCTTTGCTGCAGGACCAACTGGCCGAAGAGAGAAATTCTAGAAGCCAGGTAAAATATTTTTTTCTATATCCACATCGATATCTATTTTACGCTCAATAGATTCATATCCAATAGATCCCAAGAGTAGCGTTATCTAAATCTCGCCCATTATTTATTTATTTATTTATTTATTTTTGACAATATCCTACAGGGCTTCCCCCATTTACAGAATAAGGTGTGGACAAATAATATAAACATTCAAACTTTTAGAGACAGCAAAGTGCATCCTGAAAAAAAAAACTTTACTAAAAGAAAAAAAAAGGATGCACACCCAGCTGACTCAATTTTAAATATAAATTAAACTAATATAAACAAAAACAAAGACTAACAAATTTTATGAAAAAAAAAAATTAGATACACTAAAATCATACAAAAGAGCAAATTAAGCAATAATTAATACTTAAATATATAAAAGTTACTAATTTGACAAGAACAATCTTTTAATGGATGAGACAGAACAGTTAAAAATATCTAAATTTACTTCAATATTTGAGTAGTTTACAATCATTTGATACAAACTAGATGCCTTGTATGTGTAAGGATTTTTATGAAAAAGTAATGAGGGTTTTAAATGAGGTGGCACCAAAGAGAACTATTAAGATTTTTCCAAAATTTAGAGTTTGGTGGAATGACACAGTGCACACAGCAACTATAGATAGGGATAAGGCTTACAAAAATTATGTATTAAACAAAACAGAACAAAATAAAGAATTATATAAACAGAAACGTAATATGGCTGTTAAAACTATTAGAAATGAAAAGAGAAAATATTATGACTCTCAAATTATGGAAAATAAAAATAATTCTGTTAAATTATGGAATGTAATGAAGGAACTGTTACCCAAAAACTATAAACAAAATGATCTTGTAGAAATTGAAATAAATGAAAATTTAATTATAAAAGACATAATTGAAATGCCAGATGCACTTAACACATATTACATTGATAGTATAATTGACTTAGTATCTAATATAAATCAGAACGTTAATGATTTTCCCATTATTGTTAAAAATGATAATGTAAGTCTTAAAAAGTTTAATCTTGTTAGTTTTGATACTTTAAAAGAAATTGTTTTTGATATGTCGAATAAAGGAAGTCCTGATGAAATTAATGTACTGTTTTTAAAATACTGTTTCGAAAATATTGCTAAGCCATTGATAAATATAATAAATTCCTCGTTAGAGACTAATACTGTTCCAGACGATCTAAAAATTTCAATAATAACACCAATAGCTTAGGTTGAGAATTCAAATAGGGCAGTGGACTTACGTCCTATTAATATGTTATGTACAGTAGAAAAAATTTTAGAGAAAGTAGTATATAATCAACTTATTGAATATTTGGAAGAAAATAATATGTTTAATAATAATCAATCAGGATTTCGGGGTAAACACAGCTGCGAGACTGCACTACAATATGTATTAAATGACTGGAAACAGAATCTTGACAACAAGTTAATTACAGGTGCTCTTTTTTTAGACCTACAAAGAGCATTTGAAACGGTAAATCGATCTCTACTGATTAAAAAGTTAAAAAGTTTTGGTATTATTGAAAATTCACTAGAATGGCTTATAAATTACCTGGACAATAGAAAACAAAAATTAAGGTTTAAAAACATTTTATCAAAAGAACAAAAAAATGAATTAGGCGTACCACAGGGGAGTGTATTGGGCCCACTATTGTTCCTTCTATATATTGATGATATTTCTCAAGTTGCAGGTGGTTGCTCCATACATATGTTTGCAGATGATACTCTGCTGTATTATTCTGCTAATAATTTGCAGGAAGTAACCGCTACTATAAATACCACATTAAAGCAAATATATTATTGGTGTTGTTTTAATTCGTTAAAAGTAAATATTAACAAAACTAAATTTATGATTATCGGGAATGTTAGGTATTACAATGAATTTACTGAAAATAATATGAAAATTAGTATTGAAAATGATGTCATTGAAGTCGTAAAAAAAATTAAATATCTGGGAGTAATAGTAGACCATATGTTGTTTTTTAAAGATCATGCAAACTATATCATTAAAACAGTAGCGTTTAAAGTCAACTACTTATACCGGTGCTCAAAATATATTAATAAATGGTCATTGATTCTTTTATATAACAGTATAGTTTTGCCTCATTTCACTTATTGTGCCACCATTATGTATTTACTTAATCAGAATGAAACCAACAGACTTCAGAAATTACAAAATAGAGCAATGAGGATATTATTGTCATGTGATAGAAGGACCAATATATTAGGTATGTTACAAAATTTGAAATGGCTTTCTGTTAAAAACTATTTTCTGTACTTAACTTTAATATTCATTTATAAAATTAAACATGGACTGGTTCCCTCTTATTTACTTGATAAAATCAATTACAACTTTGACTATCATAACTATAACACAAGAAATAGATCTAATTTTCATATTCCACAAGTTGCACGTAAACAGTCCCAAAATTCAATATTTTTTAAGGGACTTCAAGCTTTTAATGAGATACCCTTAGAACTCCGAAATGTCGCCTCATTTAATACCTTTAAATATAAACTAAGAGATTATATGTTAACGAGCCAGCATCTGTGATATTTTAGTGTTATATTTTATATTTTAGATATAGATAAATATTTTTTGTAATTTTATTTATTTGTAATGTACTATTAGCTTTGCTAAATAAACGAGATATATATGTGTTGGTTCTTTGAGAGTGTTTGTGAAATGTATAATTATTTCGAGAATTAAGCCTCGGAACATGAACATTTAACATTCCAGAAATTAAAATGCAATTACCTTGTTTTGTATTAATTTAAACAGAAATATTACAGAATGCATCGATCGTCTGTTGTAAAGGCTACATGATTTAAAACGTTTTAAATAAAAAAATTGAGGAATTCCTCTTACTGGGTAAATACTATCCAATCCTAAAACACGCAGATTTGAAGAATCTTCATTGTACACGTGAAATGTGATTTAAATATATTGGACTCCAAATGATACAAGCATATTCCAGTTTTGACATGACTAGCGAAGAATAAAGGATATTCATCGTAGAAAAATTACCAAATGATCTCATATTCCGTACAATAAATCCCAAGATTCGATACACAGGTCTTTTCAATGTGAGAAATAAAACTAAGTTTACTATCAAAATATACTCCAAGATCTTTAATTAACACGTTGACTGCCACGGCAATTTTGAGACATCTGGCCCAATATGATAATTTTATTTAATCACATTATTTTATTTCTTGAATTTGAACTAATTTTTATTATATTTTTTGATCGTTTTTTAATAAATTTTCTGTTCTGCAAGCCAGCATTGTCTTTTTGTTCTTTTCCCAGAAGCCATCTATCGATATTAGCACTGATATATTTCAAGTTTAATCGTAGCTGCACAAAAATGACAAGTAAACACAGAACGAGATAACTCGTAGTTGGCGTCCTAGACAAGAATGCAATCTACGAGTTATCTCGTAGTTGGCAGTCAACGTGTTAATTCGAGTCTGACTAATGTAGTATTTTGTAATGAGTAGTTATATATTTTTACGGAATCTTTCCGGCAAAACGACATAACATTACACTTTTTTGTATTTAAAGGTAATTTATTTACAATGCACCTTTTACTTAAGCGATCGATATTGTATTGTAATTTTTGACAGTCTGTTATGTTTTTAATTTCTGAAAATAATTTGAGTTCATCGGCATATAAAAGGTGTAGTCAAGATCATATATCAAAGATGGCGCCGTCTGAACAAGACGTGTTAAGTGTATAGCTAAATAAATTGAAAAAAAAGCGACTTAATCAAAATTATAGTTTTTAAAAAGTTACCTGATCAGGTTAGTGGTAACGCAGTGCTAAAGAATTGTGTGAGAAATTTTAAAATAAGACAGATAAAAACAATTTATACGAGTCATTGAACAATATGGAGGAAAACTGTAAAATTGACCGATGCCGATTTGTTCAATTAAAAAGTAAACAATTGGAACGAGAAACTGGTTTATTGAATGATTTAAATGATCAAATGAAAAAAAAGGCTTTGTGATCAAGAAGAAATTATATTTCTTCTAAAAGCAAATTTGGCAAATAAATCAAAACAAGGAAAAAATCAAGTCGAGGAAAAATATTCCAATAAAACAGATTATCCTATACAAAATCAAAATATTTCAACAAATAATAAAAATGCTAATATTTCAAAAATACCGGAAGAAAAAAAGACAGTAAATAGACGAAGCACACGGTCTTCAAAATATGTTCTCGTTAAAGCTTCCTCGTGTCAAAGTTCCTGCAAAATTCAAGAAGTCAATTCCAATGTAGAATGGTTACATGTTAGTAAAGTGAAGGGTCATGTGGAAAATGAAATAATGTTAAATTTTCTTCAAGAAACCTTCCCAAATGAGAACGTTAAGTGTTTTAAGTTAAATACAAAGGGCAATAACAGTTCATTTAAAATAGGTGTACGGCAGGAGTGCAAAGTGAAAATGTTGAAAAGTGAAATGTGGCCCCAAAATGTGCTTCTAAAGGATTACGAGTTTTTTCGAGGACAAAGACAGTAAGTCGTTTTATATCACATTAGCCATCTTAACTTCAGAAGTCTCCGTAATAAATTAGATCAAATTGAACTGATCGTATCACTAAATTACCCCGATATTTTTTGTATTAGTGAAGTTTGGTGTGAAGAATTTGAACTGTTATATATTTTCATTCATTCATATAAATTGACTGATTATTTTTGTCGAAAAGATAAGCAAGGTGGTGGTGTCGCAATTTTTGTTAAAACTGAATTGGAATACACAATAAAGTCAAGTAAAATAAATAAAATCGATAAAATTTTTGAATATGCTTTAATAGATTTACAAATTAATAAATGTTCTTTAACCGTAGGTTGTTTTTACCGAAAATGCCAGATATTGCTCAATTTTTAAGTAACGTTGACTGTCTATTGTCTGAAATTGTTAAAGGTGATAAAATATTCTTAATGTGTGGGGACTTCAATGTAAATTTTGACGAAAAC